CCCAAGTTTTACCATTAGCTAATAGTAAAACAAAGAAATTCATCAAATTTTCGTATTTTTCTCAACATTGACGCATCCAAGAGCAAAAGTGGAAGAGGACAATATTGTTAAGAATAAAATTTGCTACAACTTTTGTTCTAAAAGTATTTTTGTAACATGCTTTGATTCCCGAATGTTACCATTAGCTAATAGTGAAATAACCAAAGAAATTGTATAATTGTAGATTCAAACTGATGATGGCCTGAATATGGCCGATAACCGGTTTTTTGAGTAAATGAAATTATAATTATTTAGCGAGAAAGAAGTTTCTATTACCTTCATCTATTTCTTAATTATAGTCCTCGCAATATGGATATACAATATCATAAAAAGATGGGCCTGTTCGGAAATACGCGGTATTTGTCGGCCGGACGATCCGATCTGAGCGCGTTCCGTTCTGGACTGACAATGAGTGAAAACGTAAACAAAACACATCGAACGCTGGCTTCACCTCTTGGTGTTTATATGTGCTTCTAGTTATACAATTTCTTTGGAAATAACAAATTCATAAAATTTTCGTATTTTTCTCAATATTAACGAATCTGAGAGTAAATATACAAGAGAGCAATATTGTTAAGAATAATATTAGCTACAACTTTTGTTCCAAACGTTTTTTTATGACATGCTCCGATTTCCAAGTGTTACCATTAACAATTTTCAAGACAATGAAATTTTAATATTTTCGTATTTTTCTCGATATTGACGTATCTGAGAGCAAATATACAAGAGAGCAATATTGTTAAGAATAAAATTTGCTACAGCCTTTGTTATACAAGTTTTTTGATAACTTGCTCCAATTTTCAAATGTTACCATTAAGAGCAAGTAAAACAAGAAAATTCATTAAATTTTCGTATTTTTATGTTTTCTCGATATTGACACATTTGAGAACAAAAGTGAAAGAGAACAATATTGTTAAGAATAAATTTTGCAACAACTATTGTTCTAAAAGTATTTTTGTAACATGCTTCGATTCCCGAATGTTACCATTAGCTAATAGTAAAACAAAGAAATTCATAAAATTTTCAAATTTTCGTATTTTTCTCAATATTGACCTATCTAAGAGCAAAAGTGCAAGAGAGCAATATTATTAACAATAAAATTTGCAATAATTTTTGTTATAAAAGATTTTTTATAGCATGCTGCGATTTCCAAGTGTTACCTTTAATAATTTGAAAGAGCAACAAATTCATAAACTTTTCATATTCTCTTTAGTTTTGACTAGTTTTACTTAGTCATCTTCAGCCGAATGGTCAATAAAAAAATAAAATCAACATCACAAAGAGCAGACATATAAATAACATTTTAAAAAATGTGAAATTACACTTTAAAATATAATATATAAATAAATAAACTGTAAAAAGACAAAACCACATAAGTTCTTACACAAACGATGTACAAAATAACACTAAAATGGATGACCTTTAAAACTTGTATGAAAAAACACATGCCAAGACAGAAACAGGTAAACGAAATGAAACTGCGGCGATTTCGAAAATAAAATCAAATATTTCTTAAACATTGAAAAAGCGGTGTAAACTTCATATCCAATTGATCATTTAACATGATGTAGTTTTTATTTTTACTGTGTTTTGCAATTTCTAATGCTTCCAAAAGATCTAAGCAAAAACCTTTATCACGTTTGTGAATAAGTTTTATATTTTCATAATTTATTTTGTGTCCGGTTTGTACTGTATGTTTATACACGTTAGAGTTGCATTTACTTTTATGTTCTATTATTCTGTTCTCTAGCTTTCGTCCTGTTTGTCCCACATATATGCTGTTACAATTATAACAATTGATAGAATAAACTCCACATTCCTTAAGTATGTTGTATTTATTAAAGTGAAAATTAGATAATAGATTCAGAATAGTGCTATTATTAGAGAAAGTTAAGTTTATATTATATTCCGAAAAGACTCTTTTAAGCGATAAAGTGAAGTGATTGAAAGGAAGCGATCTGTATATTTTATTATGTGTATCTTTCGTAAACAAAGGATCATGTTGTGCTTTAATTTTATTAATTAGATTGTTAATGTTATTCTATGCACTTG